AAAAAAAAAAAAAAAAAAGAAAACCATACGAAAAGCCGAAGATAGAAGATTTGTATTTGTCATCCCTTTATAATACAACAAACGGGTTGGGCTCAGCTAAACACAGATTAGTTTTTCCACAATCGCACGCATCAACACCTCTTTAAATTGGCAATCATAATACCAAGAAAATTTATGCAATCGATTAACTTTTTTTCTTATTATCATTCGCTGATTATGTAGCTGTTGATGAATTTCCTCTTTTCAATGTGTTTACCAGTTGGTTCCTTTTGATTTCTCCATCTCTTGAACCCTAGAACGGAAGCCTTGGCATCGCATCTCGTGATTTTGTGTAGCGGTAAGAAGCTATGTTTCTGATTCGTCGTTTCGATTCAAAATTAATTTGTTTGGTATCACTAAACATTTATGTCTGGTCATTAGATTGGCTACATGCTTTGCACGCTTTTGATTTTGGCTAAATTTATATCGTTTCTTAAATTAAGCTATTTATTCACCATTGTTGTATCTAGGTGTTTGTTGTTGGTCGATTTGTTATCTGCTCGGTGGTTCATGAGATATGGCGGCATCAGAAGGGAAAGTCAAATATGCATCACTTTCCAGTCTGGAAAAAGAGAACAGCAAATTTACCTATGTAGATGACTTTGATGATACTGATTGGAATGCGCAGGGACAGAATCTCAGTGGCCCTAATGAAAAAGTATCATACCCATTCCCTGTTGACACAGAAGATTTTACAGAGGGAGGGTACGACTCTGGGGAGGATCAGTACACCCCCCTGCCTAGAAACGGCCGCCCGCCCGAGGTGAACCTGAAAAACGTTATGAGTGGTATATTTGCTATTCTGACTGGGCGAAACAAGCACAACTCTGGTTTTGGTACTCTTCCGCAGCTGCCGAGCTCGAATGTGTCGTTTCTTGGATCTGCAAAGAATGGTGAGACGTTTGTGCACTCTTCGGTTTACATTCCTAGCGCCCCGCCCCTCCTTGAGCCGAACACATTTAACTATAATGCTTTCAAAGAAGTTTTGGAAGCTGAGCCGCCCGAATGGCTTCCGGACAGCTCAACTACCGTCTGCATGCAGTGCAATGCTCCCTTTACGGCCTTCACTCGTGGAAGGCACCACTGCCGATTTTGCGGGGGCATCTTTTGTAGGGTTTGTTCAAAAGGGAGGTGTTTGCTTCCCGCTAAATTTAGGGAAAGAGACCCGCAGAGGGTGTGCGACACCTGCTACGATAGGCTTGATCCTCTTCAGAGTGTGCTGGTCAATACCATCAGCAATGCCGTGCAGGTTGCGAAGCATGATGTGATGGATTGGACTTGTTTAAGAGGGTGGTTGAATCTACCTGTGGGACTGTCCATGGAGCATGAAATATACAAGGCATCCGTCACGTTGAGAAGCTACAGCCAGGTGTGATTTTAATAGCATTATTTGTTTCTTACTTTTCTTGTTATTGATATTAGAACATGTAGAATGTTTTGTTCTGGGTATTTTAGTTATTTCCCTATTTTAAATAATTAAATTATCCTCTTTAAGCATAATAGACGGTTATGGGCAATTATGCACAGGTAGCTAGGTTGAACCCTGAGAAGTCCATACCTGCTGCCGTTTTGAAAGGAGCGAGAGGTTTAGCCATTCTAACTGTTGTTAAAGCTGGTGTGCTACTTGCTTATAAAGTTGGAACTGGATTGGTTGTTGCGCGAAAGGCTGATGGGTCGTGGTCTGCTCCATCTGCGATTCTCTCGTTAGGACTGGGTTGGGGTGCTCAGGTATGCAATGAGTTTGTTCTGGGTTGACGTTTGTGTTCTTCCCGCTTAACGGTAATTACATTGCGAAATAGGACTGCAGCCAATTTGCCAGACCAATTTAAGTCCCTTCCCTTGCTCCCTCTACATTGAGTAATGATTCTTCTTCTTCTCAAATTATGTATATCAGACCCACTGAGAATTCCAAAAGGAAAGTCATCAAAAAACAATAGTGGATTGGTAGTTATTGTATTTTATGTCATTAAACGGATTTTGCTACAGGTTTACAACAATGTTTTGATCAGGGAGTTAATTGTTGAGATGTACTACTTCATCTGTATCTGATTTCAAACAAATCTAGTCTGGTCTACCGTCCAAGAGAACTTGTTTTCCTTTGTCCTTATGTTTGCTTACTATGTAAATCACAGGTTGGGGGTGAACTCATGGATTTCATAATTGTGTTGCATGATGCAAATGCTGTGAAAACATTCTGCAGCCGAATGCATTTTTCTCTTGGTGCCGGTTGCAGTGCTGCAGCTGGACCAGTTGGGAGAGTTGTGGAGGCAGATTTGCGAGCTGGAGAAAAGGGCTCTGGCATGTGTTACACTTACAGTTGCAGCAAAGGTATAGTTCTTTTAGTGTTCTTGACATCTCAGAAACAGCTTTATTTTGATGTTCGTAGTTCATTTTGCCTTGTTTGTTAATCAGAAAGTTAATGCATAGTGAATTTAAGATTCTGAAAATACGTTTTACTTCAGTAGCCAATAATGATGCGGTGCTTTAGAACATCTATGTGGAAATGGAGTAATATGCATGTATTAAAGAGCTGATGTGCCTGGCAAATGACAATGAAGTGTGTTGAAATGGATATTCCCTTATAACTACTGTCTGTATGCTGCTGTTTAACAGAAGAGGTGTTTTAAGTAATCATGAAGTAAGACCTTATTTTTGTTTCTCCCAGTACAGTAGGGATTATGTATATTTACTAGTATATTATATATATACTCACTTTGATCATGTAAATTCATTGTTGGGGAGGGTTCTTTGTCCAGTAACTGTATGATTTGCATATCAGCTTTCTATCTTAATGTTGCATAGGCATAAACTAATCACATTAGTCTTTGCTCAAATGACATTTACTAGCCAATGTTACACCATTTTTAATAAATGTTGCACTCCTTGAGAACATTGCCAAGTGTTTCCATTGCATCAGATTGAAAGGCCAGTATAATAATTAATACTTAATAGTACTGATTAGTTCTGCCTTTACCTGTGCCATAACTATCATCTTGATGATAGAGATCAGGGCTTAGGTGAAAACGTGTTGGTATCAATGATAATCAACTTATCAAGTTCTTGCGAGGTGAACGAATAAAAGAAGCATAACCAGGATGTGGACACTAGTTGTGGTGGTTCAAAACTAGTTATTTGTTGTAATAGGAATTTTATATTTAGTTGGTTCGTATAATCTAAAAGCGGTTGAGCATCAGCATGGGACGAAGTATTGGAGATTTTATTTTACTTTGATACATTTGTTAGGCCTTGAAATTTGGTATTGATGTTTGATTAGGAGGGTGCCTAAAGGTAAAATAGGTACTAAATCATTTTTTGTTGAAATTTTTGAATTGACAAAATTTCAAATGACCTGATACCGTTAATGGATTTGAAATTTATATGACTCCATGCAGACACAAGGATTATTTTTTTTTAAATATTTTAAATGGGTTTGAAACCCATAGGTCCAAGCCCTGTAAACGAAAGCCCTTTTGGCAAAGTCGTATATATCAATAAGCATTTGAAGAGAACGGTCATTTAATTGTACACATTAATGTTGATATTTCTCAGGTGCATTTGTTGGAGTCTCATTGGAAGGAAATGTTGTTGCCACAAGAATGGACACAAATCTTCGTTTTTATGGAGATCCATACCTAACTACAGCCGATATTCTTCTTGGGACTGTTGAAAGACCAAAGGCTGCTGACCTTCTCTACTCTGCTCTCAGAGAGCTCTACTCCAAATTGTGATGCGTAAAGTTTTGAGCGTCTCAATTTGTGTGTACAAGCTCCGAAGTGCACTATATATCAAAAGATGGTGATGGGATGTATAACGCCTTCGTTTTCAAGGGGCGGGAAGACTTTGTTGAACTCGTGGCCTACGACATGTATATAAATTGCTGCTTTCATTTGCTTGATGCGCACGTGGCTCAATCTTTTTTAAGCTCTGAAAAGTTATTTTAGGTTCATGCACATGTAAATAGATTTCTCTATAATTGCTTTACTAGCTACACTTTCAAGACATAAATTAAATGTTCATATATTTAAGATTGCAGTAATTGAAGTTGTCAGGGAAATGAAATTACAGAAATGTTTCTGGTGTGGGATTAAGTTTTAAATAATATTCATATTTAATTCAAGTATAGTAATGTTCAGTAGTATTAGTGCAGAGTAACATGGATATTATCTATTAGGTGGCTCATGCCATGTGGCCTGGATGCATGGACGGGTGCTGCTAGCTTTGCACTAGGACGATGCCAAGACCCTTTCCAGTCATGTCCTCGTCCTTAGGCACATCAAAAAAACCAGCAGTTTTCTGACCAAATTTGGGTTATCTACTCATTCGTGACAAGTTGAGGGACATTTTCTCAAGGAGTTGTTTATTCTTCCTAACACGGCGGCCCTTATACTCTTGCTCGACCGGACTAGGTGGATCTGAACTTTTGTCTTCTCACAATTTAGCCTTTTCACCACTATGTGATTTACTTGCTACTCGACTACATGCAAGTTGTTTAGGAGAATTTCTATAATGATTCGTAGGAGAGAAAGAACTAATGCTCAGCATAAAAACACACATGTAGATAACAATCAAAGAACGAATGTGATTTGTTAATTTTTTCT